CTGCACCAAGGTTATTACTCCTATGAAAATAATAAATAATGAATGTGTTGAAAATAATGAAAATAAAATAGAAAAGTAATTAATAAATGGGTTAATAATGAATGATTTTGCTAAACATATTGAAAAGTGCTTATTTATTTTTGATGCAATTAATTAGAATAATTGTTTCAATTCGTAAACAAATAAATTTAGATGCACAAAAAAAATTAAACAAAAAAATCAAAAAAAATTTATGAGCTGTGAATCAATCAATTAATTCTCCAAACCCATTTGTTTTAAGTTTCAATTTCACAAATGTATTAATTAAAACAAACTAAATATAAATTGATAGTTAGTTAAATTACGATAGATTGAGATTCAAAGATGTTATATTTTGGCACTTCTCCAAGCTCATTCCAATGTTCTTAGCTCCATCTGCACCAAGTTTATTATCCCTATGAAAATAATAAATAATGAATTTGTTGAAAATAATGAAAATAAAATAGAAAAGTAATTAATAAATGGGTTAATAATGAATGATTTTGCTAAACATATTGAAAAGTGCTTATTTATTTTTGATTCAATTAATTGGAATAATTGTTTCAATTCGTAAACAAATAAATTTAGATGCACAAAAATTAAACAAAAAAATCAAAAAACAATTTATGAGCTGTGAATCAATCAATTAATTCTCCAAACCCATTTGTTTTAAGTTTCAATTTCACAAATGTAATAATTAAAATAAACTAAATAAATTGATAGTTAGTTAAATTACCATAGATAGAGATTCAAAGATGTTATATTTTGGCACTTCTCCAAGCTCATTCCTATGTTCTTAGCTCCATCTGCACCAAGTTTATTACAGCTATGAAAATAATAAATAATGAATGTGTTGAAAATAATGAAAATAAAATAGAAAAGTAATTAATAAATGGGTTAATAATGAATGATTTAGCTAAACATATTAAAAAGTGCTTATTTATTTTGATTTAATTTATTAGAATATAATTTCAATTTACAAACAAATAAAATTATGGTTAATAAAATAAGAATTAATAAAGTTAAATAAAAAATCCTAAAATATAAATTCTGAATATATTTTATCAAAGTCTAAAAAAGAGAATATATACTTCATTAATTTATTTTCATATTTAAATTATCTGATTTTTTAGTTAATTTATACGTAAATTAAGTAAAAAATTAAGACCTAAAAAATGAAATGGGAGATATTTGGATAATTAAATAAACTCTACAATAAATAAATAAAATTTTTAAGTATTTAACTTCAATTTTATTTAATTTAATGATTGAATTTTTATATCTCATTTTGAATTTATATTAATTAATTCTTTTTTTCATTTCACTTTCTTAAGCAATTAAAATTTTTAATTACTTTAAATCTCAAAATTATGAATCAATAAAGATGTCTAAAATAAATTATTTTTAAAATATTTAACTTTATACTAATTCTGATAAACTATAACTTAATTTGAATGAAAATAAGTAGATTTCCTTATGGAATTAAAATCTATTTGCAAATAATATAATTTAAAGTTATGGAAAAATTACAAATTTTGAAATTTTTGTTTAGATACTTAAAAAATAAAATAATTATTTAGATTTATTTTAGGGGAGAAAATATCAATTTCTTTAATCATATATCAATATTTGATGTTATTTGAATTATTTATTTTAAAAATAAATTAAAATTAAATTTTTTTATCTATTTTAAATTATTTAATTATAAAATTTATACTAGAAATCAAGATCTAAGTGATGAACTAACCTTTTTGCTATACATTCCTAGATTTTAGAGAGATTACTGTAATCTTTAAAAGCATACTTATCTAATCGGACTTCATTTTGTTGGCTCGTGTAGTTAAATTTAAGAAAAGATTGTCTGAATTTTGAAATCATCAAATTAGACTCAGTAAAATCCAATTTGTCCTTTACCGCATAAATAAACTAATTTTCTAATTTTAGTCTTAATTCATTTAATTGTTTAGCTAATCCAAAAGAATCGATTCTATTCTAAGGCATTTTTTCAAGCATTTTAATTATAATTTAGTTAATATCTTAATATAGAGCGTTTTTGCTCATATATTTAGGTAGTTTTCCATTTCTGATAAAAGTACAATCTCCATCCTCAAGAAACTTTCCAAGGGTTAATTCAAGGAGAATAATTCCTAAGCCATAAATATCATACTTTAAATAAAAATTCAATTAAAAATAAGTAAATAAATAATAGAATAATTTAATCAATTTACTTTGATATTGAATAAACCGTTATCATCTGTTATTTCAGGAGCTGCATACTTTCTTGTAAATCCTTTGAGCTTTTAAATATTAAGAATTTAAAATAAAAATAAATTTATTGAAATAGCTTCTAATATATAAATAGTAAAAAAATTTTTGAGAAATTAAAAAAAAGCTTGATAAATTTGAATAAATTAAATGTTTTAAAAGTAAGTGTTGAAATTCTAAAAATAAATAGTTCTGAAACTTATTTGAGTAGTAATTAAATTTAAAAAATAAATAAATTTATTAATTACGTTGTAAGTTTTTGATCCATCTTTAAATGATTTAGACTCTCCGTAATCACCTTGAAGTTTAAAAATAAGAATTTAGGTTATTATAAACTAAATAGTATAAAATTCAAATCAATAAGATTAAAAGTAAATCTTTTATATTTGAAATATTTATTTATTAAGAAATTAAAATATTCAAACTATTTGTTTGTATATTAAAGATTAAATCAAAAACAAGTATTAAGAATGAATCTTTTATAAATAAGTGTAAAATTATTAGAATTTACTCTTTAAAATATTTGATTTATTAAACATAGTAAAGTCAATTTCTTATATTTAAAAATATAAGATTTAAAAAAAACTGGGAAAAACCTTTTTTACATAGCTAAATATTGTAATCATATTTTTAGATGGGGGAATATTAAATTAACTACAATATATTTTGTTTGCTGGTTTGAAAAGTTTCTTAATCCAAAAGTTTAAAAATAAAATTTTAAATAAATTAAAAAATTTACATAGATTAAAGCATTTTTCTTAGCTATCGTAAAGGATATTCTCTGGTTTAATATCAGAGTGAATCAAATTATTTTACTAAATTTTTTCAAAAACTGTTGACATCTGAATAGCAAAACCAACTATTTAGTTGAGTGGTAGTGTTTTTTTTTAATCAAAGAAGCTTTACATTATGTCTTTAAGATTACCTAAAAATTAGAATATTTTTAAAAACTAAAAATAAAAAAATATGAATTTTACATGAATATTTTTTAGAAATCTGATAGTATTTCGAGTTTTTTTCATTAAAAAACTCTTCAATAGATTTAAAGACATAAGGAGTATCCTTTAACAATTTCATTATTTTTTCTTCTTCTTTGATTTTATCAAATTTAGGTTTGCTACATTTGACAGCTACTATTTCTCCATTGTATTTAGCCTCAAAAACACATCCATAACCACCTTGTGCAATGTAGGATGTTAAGTATACCTTCTTTTTTTGAAGTTCATTGTAAATCGTTGTTAGTTCATCTGAATCAAATATCATATTCTCATTATGTTTCTTTTAGTAGTCCAGAAAAATTTCTTAAAATTTTTCTTCAGGTGCCTAATATTTAAGCTCAATGTCTTGTTATTATTGCATGATTAGTAACAATCGCTAATATATAAAATAATTATAATGTTTAACGAATAAAAATAAAAAATTTTTTTTTTAATTTTAATAATATATTTTATTTTATAACGAAATCTTTTTTTTATTTACCTTTTTTATTTCTTTCTTTTCTTTCAATTAATTTCTTTGCTTTTTTCTTAATTAAATTATAAAAATTTGTTAATTAAAAAAGTATAAAAATTATTAGTGAATGATTATTTTTTTTGATAATTAATTAAAAATAATAATTAACTAAATACTTTGTGATTTCCCCCAAAAACCTCAAAATCAAATTTATCCTACTGCTTACTTAATAATTTAATTGATAATTAATTTATATCAAGCAATTTCATTTTATCATATAATAAATATATTTTTATTTATTAGAGATAAATAAAAAGGAAAACAACTGTTTTTAAAATCTACTAAAAAATATAAATCTGGTATATAAAAATAAAAAGTTCCAATATGCAGAGTATAATTCAATAAAAATTTAAAAAATTTATTTAGATGTAAATTAATCAAAGATTTATAGGGTAGATTTAACAGTTTATAAGCATTTAATTAATATAAATCTTAACTTTTTATCTATTTACACTCATCTTTAAATTTAAAAACTGAGAAAAACTTATTAAAGTCATATCAATGTTTAACAAGAAATATTTTCTTTATTAATCATCTAAATTCATTCATTCACACTTTATTTTGCATACACAATTATTAAATTCAATATTTCTTAAATCAACTTCAAAACTATTAGTTTAATATATTTTAAATATTCTTATTTAGAGCTCTTTTTAAGAAGATTCTCATTATATTAAAATTAATAATTTGCTAAATAATGTAAAAGATAAATTTAATTTTATCATTTTGTATGTTAATTTTGAAAAATATCATATTTATTAAAAATTGTGATCTGTTTGCCCTTATTTTATTCAGCTTAGTAGATTAAAATAATTAGACATTTAAAAAATTTGATTAATACATAAAAATAAAAGAAAGAAATGCTTTGTTAGAGCTAATTAATATAAATTATTAATTATTGATGACATAATTTTTAATTCATTTTTAAGAATATATGGATATACTTTTACTATTATTTATTTCAATTTTAATACTTTTTCTATTTTCTTTATAAAAAAGTAAATAAAGAATCAAAATATTCTAAATAATAATATATTTAACATTTGAATATTTAAAGCAGAAATAATAATTTAAGTGCTTATTAGCATACGATTAGTATTAATTAACACCTATTTAAGATGAAGTTATGCATTTGTGAGTTTTTATTTTTTAAAATTGTGAATTTTTAATATTTAGCTTTTTTGAAATGAATTTTTTATATTTAATGGATTATTTTTAAAAATTAAAATATGAAAACTAACAAGCAGGAAGAAGTTTTACAGATATAAAAATATTAGAGAATAGCTAATAGATAGAGTAAATAAATTTATAATTACTAAAGGTATATTTACTGAACATAATGAATCATTTATGTTACACATCCAACATTGAATAATATATGAGAGAATATGCTTTATTTAACTAAAATTAAATTTATTAAAAATGAAGAATAAATATTCTAAAGAAAGATGCAGAAATTGTGAAATGAGTGTTTTCTAAATCTAATTTAGATTTATTGGCCACGATATTGATAACCTTGATAATCTAAACTAATTGATATTTAGAGAATAAATAGTAGATTTTAATTAAAGCAAAGATGAGATTATTGATTTATGTCTGAAAGGAATATGTAATAGATTTTTGTATAATATTGAAGATTCCTAGTATGTTTCTAACATAGTAATTTTTTTTTTGGTTTTCCTATAAAAATTTATTTTAAAATTGGAATGTTTAACCTATGTGCTAGTGCTAATGCAAAAGGATTTTAAATTTTAAGAATGAGTTTATATTTCATATTAACCAGTTAGATGTTGACTTACAAGATCTTTAAAATCTTAATAATTACAGGGAGAGACTTCTTAATTCTTAAAAAAATAACCTAAGTTTTGAAGACTTTACTAAAAAGAATTATCTTATTTGTTTGAAGATGTAGAATATTCAGTTCGCTCTCAATAATTTATAGAAAAATACTACCACTAAAATATATAAAAATTAAAAAAATATAAAAAGAGCAATAGCTTAAAAATTCCTAACAATTTAGAATAAATGTGGATATAAATAAATTAACTCCAAAGAAATACAAACCAATTTAAATTATTCAAGAAAAATGATATCATAACTTACTATTTATATTAAAAACTTTTTTATTAAACATAAATATATTCAATTAATTGTATTTAAATTATTTTTATAATATATCATATTAAAAAACACTTTTAAATTTTGGATGTTATTTTTTTAAAGGGGTCAATGTCTATTATAGTATAAAGTTTTTAGAAATTTTGTAAAATAAATATTGCCCGCTAAGTAAAAAGCTTGGAGGTAGAGCTGAAAAATTTGGCATGATGTTTTAATTTGTTAATTTACTACCACAATTATCAACTTATATTAAAACATTTACAATTCTCAATTGATTTTCTTTCTTTTTTGATCTAATTAATTACGCTAATCATCGAAAATATTGCTAATTAATTAGATAATCTGAAATAATATTGGAAAAAAAACTAATAGTTTCCTTTTTAGTCATTTGATTAGCATTTAATATTATTATAACTGTATACCAATTAGAGCAAATATGGAGATAGAATATAATTTTGAAAACAAAAACACTTTTAACTAAAACTCAAATTCAGATTAAAATAGTTTTTTTGACTCTTAGCAATATTAAGTTACATAGCATTAGAAAGCAAAGAATAAGAACACTAACCCTAATGAATAAAGCGATAATTCTTCTACATATAATTTTGATCATAGTTGTATGGAATTAGGAGATATCTATAATAATTGCATCGATTTAGAGTTTCGAGGAGATTTTAATTAAAGAAATAGTGATGAATGTGCACTTAGTGTTCAACAAAATATTAATCTTGGTTTATTTGGTTTAGATAGAATGAAATTATGGACAGGAATGACATTAATGAGTGATGGAACTTTAAGATTATGTGCCTCACTTGGATCATTGAGTTTTAACTATTAACAATAAATCGTAGAATGTGTTGAAGATAAAAAGAATCTGGGTGTTGTGGATTTACATTTTACTAAAAATAGAATGATTCGCTAGTCTTCGATTGAAGAAGCATTATTCTTTCTAAGTAGGATGGACGGAATTAAATTTAGATAGATCGAAACAGAGCTTATAAAAATATATACTTCAGTAAAATAATAACATTAAGATGCTTTAAGTTTAAAACTCACTGAATAATAACTTGAAATGAAGGACTAAGAATTTATCGAATTTATCGATTACTGCTATGAATACATAAACTAGAATTATAATAATGAAAATTAAACAAAAATGTTTTGGTATTCTTTGGGTAGAATAAACTTAAGAGAAAAGGATATTCAAGTTATTAAAACAGGATTTTCTAAGAGTTATTTGGAATTACTTGGATTGAATTAAGATTCTTTGAGTACAATTTACCTTCGTAAATAACAAGTGGATTTAATAAAAGACTAGTCTGACAGAATAATGTAAACTCTTTCAGGTATAGACTCTAAATGCAAAATGATTGATTAGGAAGAACAATTCGTTAACATCCAAACTTTTGATGGATTTCCTTTAGTTTTGCTCTAAAAAAAGAAATGCTTAAGAGAGATTATTCATAAGAAGTGCTAGCAATATATAAAAAATGAATATTTTTTCTCAATTATAGAAATGGATGTAGATATTGATAGCTTACAAAGATTAATTTAGTACAGATAAAAAATATTTCTTAATCCTAATAATCTTACAATAGACGAATTCATCTAAAAAGAACTTTCATATAAATTCGAAGATGTTGAATATTCTATCCACTCATAAAACTTTTTAGAAAAATACTACTAAGAAAACCTAAAAAAAATTTTTTAAATAGAGGAAGAACTTAAAAATAAAATTAGATAAGAATAGAAATAATGTGGATATAAATATATTTAAAATACTCCATTAATTGTCTAGCATTGATTCTTTCTAAATCAATACTCAAAAAAATAAAGAAAGTTGAAGTTAAAAAAGTGACAAAGCTTTCTCAAAATAAAAAATTATTATAACCATAAAATGCATAAATATAACCAATTAAAACAAACTCTAATTAATTTATTAACAAACTATAACTTACTGTAAATTTTAACTATTATGTTGTAATATTTTTTTATAATTTTAACTAATCGCCTACATTCATTCACACTTTACTTTGCAAATACAATATATCAAATTCAATATTTATTAAATCGATTTCAAAAGTATTAGTTTATTATATTTTAAACTATCTTTTTTAGAGCCTCTTTTTAAGAAGATTCTCATTGCATTAAAATTATTAATTTACTAAATAACGGAAAAGATACATTTAATTTTATCCAATTGTATGTTACTTTTGAAAAATATCATATTTATTAAAAATAGTGATTTGTTTGCCCTTATTTTATTCAGCTTAGTAGATTAAAAGAATTAGATATTTAAAAAATTAAATTGATTCATGAATATAAAAGAAAGAAATGCTTTGTTTATATAAACAATAAATTATTGATTGTATACTAAAGAGCTACTATTTGTTTCTTATTTTTTCTATTACTTTTTATAACCTAATGTCTTTACGCAAGTAAATACTGATGAATTACGACTATTCATATTATCAATGTTCATGTTTAATTTTTCAATTCATATTTTAAAATCTATGGATATACTTTTACTATTATTTATTTGAATTTTAATACTTTTTCTATTTGCTTTATAAAAAAATAAATTAATATTTATGAAATGAATGAAAATATTCTAAATAATTCCATATTTAATGTAAAATGGCTTAGAAATAATAATTTTAGATATGTAGAACTTTCTATACAAATAATTTCTAAATTATATTTAGCCACAAATAAGACAATAAATCAATTAATTGATATTTGTTTAAAAGCCTTTTCATGTATATATATTCCCTTGTTCATCAAATTTTTTAGATTTTTGATTGATTGTTCTTTAAAGGCAATCTTTAAAAAAATCTAATTAAAAATTTTTGATATTATTTAATAAATCAAAAAACATCCAAATTACAACTAAAGAAATCTTTAAAAACAATAAATGGAAATCGAAAATATTTCTTTTATAGATCAACAAACTTTATTAGATTTTGAAGAATCTACTGATTTATACTTTCGCTCCAAAATAGGTTGTTAGCCAAAAAATTAGACATTTGAAAACAAGGACTTATCTTAATTAAACTCTGATTAAATTATTGATTAGTCTGTTGGACATTTTGTTGAGCAAAATTTATAATCAGAAACTAGCCAATAAAATGAGCAAAGCTCTAATAGTAATGATAAAATAAATAAAAACTACTCAAAATTAATCTTAAACTAAAAGAAAAAGTGTAAGTAAAAATAAGTAGCAGTGACAAATATTTGTAGAATGTTAAATTCAAATAATATGATCAGAATTTCGCAAGGTCTACAAATTGAATAAGATGGAACAATTAGATTCTGTCATAGCATAGGATTTCTTAGCTTTGGCTTCTAAACTTAGCATACTTTGAGCTTTGAATATTTAAAGCAGGAATAATTAGTTCAGTGCTTATTAGCAGATGATTAACATTAATTAACGCCTATTTAAGATGCAGTTATGCATTTGAGAGTATTTATTTTTTAAAAAATGAATTTTAATATTTAGCTTTTTTGAAATGAATTTTTTAGATTTAATGGATTTTTTTAAAAATTAGAATGTGAAAATTAATAAGCAGGAAGAAGTTTTACAGATACTTGAAATCTATAAAAATGTTAGAGAATAGCTAATAGATAGAGTAAACAAATTTATAATTACTAAAGACATAATTGCAGAACATGATGAATAGTTTATGTTACATATCAAACATTGTGAATAATATATGAGAGAATACGCCTTATAAAACTAAAATTAAATATATTAATTTTGTATAGGAAGAATAAATATTCTAAAGAAAGATGCAGAAATTGTGAAATATGTGTTTTCTAAATCATATTTAGACTTTATTGGCCTCGATATTGATAATCTAAGCTAATTGATATTTAGAGGCTAAAAAGTTGATTTGATTTAAAGCAAAGATGAAATTATTGATCTATCTCTGAAAGGAATATGTAATAGATTTTGGTATAATATTGAAGACTGCTATTATGTTTCTAACATAGTAACTTTTGATGGTTTTCCAATCAAAATTTATTTTTAAAAAAGGAATGTTTAACCTATGTGCTAATGCAAAAGGATTTTAAATTTTAAGAATGAGTTTATATTTCATATTAACGAGTTAGATGTTGACTTACAAGATCTTTAAAATCTTATTAATTACAGGGAGAGACTTCTTAATTCTTAAAAAAATAACCTAAGTTTCGAAGACTTTACTAAAAAAGAACTATCTTATATGTTTGAAGATGTAGAATATTCAGTTCACTCACAATAATTTATTGAAAAATACTACCACTAAAATATATAAAAATTAAAAAAAATATAATAAGAATAATAGCTTAAAAAATCCTAACAATTTTTCAATAAATGTGGATATAAATTAATTGACTCCAAAGATTACAAACCAATTTAAATTATTCAATAAAAATGATATCATAACTTACTATTTATATTAAAAAACTTTTTATTAAACATAAATATATTCAATTAATTGTATTTAAATTATTTTTATAATGAATCGTATATAAAAACACTATTATATTAATTTTATAAATTAATTTTAGCTTTTTAAAAAAATTATTTGTTTCTAAATCCTGATTTTTTATTTATTTATTTACGGGCTATAGGATTGCTCTCAATTTTCATAGTTTGTATTAATTAAATTTCCATTAATTATTATTCACTAATTTAATTAATAAATAAATAAATGATTTAATAGAAAAAATATTTTGAAGATCTAGAAGATGTAAATATTTTTTTTAATAGAATATTGTTTAAATTTATTTTATTAATAAACAAAGTTTTTTAATTCTTCATTTTAATCACATTAGGTCCTCCATATTGTTCAAAGGTAATTTAATTTGTTAATGTTATTACTATTAAACTGCTTTTTTTAAGTTTAAGTTATTTATAATATTATTTTTCAATTTGAATTTATTTTCTTTATTCATTCATTCATTATTTTTTTTTAAACAAATATTTTTAAAAATATTTTAACTGATTTTTACTTTATTTATTTATTTATTAATTATTAATTTATTTCTTATTATTTTTCTTCATTCTTTCCTTCTAAATAGCAAATTTTACTCTTTGTTTTTTCTTTAATATTTAAATAGTTATAGTAAATTTAGTGATGATGGTGTATCTGTCTTAGGTTCTGCTTTAGCAAAGTGTACTAATCTCTTAAATTTGAGACTTGATCTTTGGTAAAAACAAACACTTTATTTGCTTTAAGCTGTGATACTTTTTAATATAAAAATAAATTTAAAACAATAAAACCTTTTTGATTTATTTTTTAGTTTTTATGTGATTTCTTATTCTTTTTATTCTACTAATGTTTTTTTTCTCTTTCTTTATTAATAATCTAACTAGTTTTTTATTTTTAGCTTTTGGTTTGATTTTTCCTTCTTTTTAACTTATTAATAATATTTTTTCTTCAATATTTAAAAAGTGAAAATTAAATTGGGGATTAAGGTGCCTCTGCCTTAGGTACTGCTTTAGCAAACTGCGCTAATCTTTCAAATTTCACACTTGACCTTGGGTAAAATCAGTTTATTTGTTTTGGATTGTGATATTTTTTTATATAAAAATGAATTTAAAGCAATTAATAATATGTTTGTTTATTTTTAGTTTATTTATTAGATTTAATTTTATTATATTCTGATATTTTTTTTTCTTTCTGTATAAATTTAATTTATTTTTAATTTCTAACTTTTACTTTGATTATTAATTTATATGTTATTAGTTCATATTTTTTCGTTATCTTTTCCTTAAATTTACATATAACTAAATATTTTTTCTTAAAAAATTAATAAGTAAAAATTAAATTGGTTATAAAGGTGTATCAAGCTTAGTTTCTGCTTTAGCAAACTGCACTAATCTCTCAAACTTGAAACTTCATTTTATGTAAAAACATTTTTTTTTTTAATTATTAAATATGAATTTAATTATATAAAATTTGTTTATTTATATTTATTAATTAGCTTTTTATTAGATTTATTTTTCTTTTTTATTCTGCCAGTATTTTTTTATTTCTTTATTAATTTAGCTAATTTTTTAATTTTAAACTTTTGCATTGATTATTAATTAATTTTTTATTACAACTCTAGCTGCAATTTTTTACAAAATATTATAATTTATTAATTTCTATTAAAATAATGGAGGAGGTATTTGATTTATATTTGAAATTTAATATTCAAAAATTAATGATTTATATATATCCTGATAGAAGATGTGCAAATTTATTTAATTTATTTTTCAAAATATTTATTTTGATTGAATTATGAAATTTTTATAAGTTATCTAATCAATAATTTTGTAAAATAAATTCACCACTAATACTGTGTTTCATATTTTTTTTATCTTTTAATTAAACTACTAATTAAATAAATACTTTTTCTTCTACATTTAAAAAGTTGTAATGAAATTGGTACAATTAGTGGATCAGGTTTAGGTTCTGGTTTAGGAAAGTTCACTAATCTAACAAATTTGACACTTGATCTTCGGTAAAAACAGTTTACTAACTTTTTTTGGATTATTATTTTTTTAACATATAAATCAATTTAAAATAATAAAACAATTTTTTGTTTATTTATTCATTAATTTTTTATTTTTCTTTATAATTTGAAAGTGTTTTTTTTCATTAATTGTTAACTCCTTTTTTCATTCTCAATTTCTTGTTTGATTTTTAATTAATTTACTCATTTATAATTATTTCATATTTTTTTCTTCATCTTTCCCTTCGAATTAACTCTTTCTAATTCCTATTAGAAAATAATTATTCTAAAATAATAATAAATTAAATACTTTTTGTTTGATATTTCAATAGTTACAATAAAATTGGTATAATTGGCGCATTAGACTTAAGCTCTTCTTTAACAAATTTGATTAATCTCTCAAATTTGACACTTGATCTTTTGTAAAAACATTTTATGTGTATTTGGTTGTGATATTTTTATGTTTGTGTTTATACTGATCATAATATATTTTCTTCAATATTTAAAAAGTGAAAATTAAATTGGTGAGTAGGGTGTCTCAGACTTAGGCTCTGCTTTAGCAAACTGCAATAATCTCTCAAATTTCAACATTGATCTTGGGTAAAAACAGTTTATTATTTTTGATTGTGATATTTTTTAATTTAAAAATAAAATTAAAACAATAAAACTCTTTTTAAATATTTTTTTTATTCTTCGAGTAATTTTTCTTTCTTTGTTAATTTAACTCTTTTTTTTTCAACTATTGCATTTATTTTTAATTCTTTTCTTATTATTTGATATTATTACTTCATTCTTTCCTTCTAATTTAAAAAACTATTAAATATTTTTTATTCAAATATTTAAAAAGTAAAA